AAACTTCCCCCTTCCTCCTCCTCCCCACCGCTCGAGACGGAAAACCAAACTCACTTCCTTCAAGTCACTGTCAACTTAGAGCGACTCTATAGGCCCGAGTACAACCAAGCCTGGGGGTGTTTGAGACAGCCCATCTTCACAGGCGGAGGACCCTCCGCTCCCTCCTGCAGAACAGCTGGTGGTTTTGAATGGGTGGCCTTGCAGTTAGCATATGTGTAACCCACCATGCCACGAGGGTCCCCACCCCCAGTAGCCACTGATCATCTTTGGTTTCTCTATACTTGTTGATTTCATACTAGTTCAATCATACAATATTTGCCTGGTTGTGACGGACTTATTTTGCTCAGCATATTTCCAAGGATCATTCGAGTTGCATCGAAACCTCATTTCTCTTTCCGGCCATGTTCTATTCCATCATCTGTATGGACCACGTTTTGCGTATCTTCCTCTGGTGGTGGTCATTCATGGTGGCTATGGTGAAAAGTGCTTCGATGAAGAGTTTCTGTTCATGGCCCTGCCTCCACGTCCGGCGGGGACACACCCAGGCTCGGCTCAGCTGGGCCATATGGCAGTTCTTTGGCCAGCTTTCTAAGGACCCACCAGAGAGTTTTCTGGAGTGGCTGTACCGTTTCATTTATGATTCAGATTTTAGTTTGGTCACAGAACTTACTGTGATCTTACTGATCACCTTTCAACTCCATCCTAACCCATTTTATTTGCCAAAAATAGTGCCTCGTAGGCTAAATCTCAATAAATCCTAATAAAAACCTAGATCACTTTTTAATGAACTCAGAACCTCTAGGTAAACACACCTATACACACATACAGTGTGTGGGAGTGTGTTTGAATCTATTTGACCGCAGAGGGTTTGGTGTTATGCAATGGAGACCCTCTTGTTTGTGGTCATGTTGTGAATTAGACCTGATGCTCCCTCATGGTGTGTGTGTGTGTGTGTGTGTGTCTCACCCGAGCCCCAAACAAAACCAAACATTGTGCAAAGTGAGAACACCACCTACCCCCGGGCCTACCTTCATCTTCTTTACCACCCAGTCTACATCTAGCTCTAACGTCTTCCCTCCACCAGTAGTAGGGTCATGCTTCATAGTTCTTTCTGCTCTTGGAGTCTCTTGGGCTGATGGTTGCTGGTTCAATAAGCGAAAAGAGAGAGTACCCACATCTGCAATGAGTGGCTCGGGTCAGACAGACAGTCCCACATAGGGATAGATACACAGACAACATTGCAAACAGAACAAAAAGCCAGGAGCAAGGAGAGAGCGAGAGAGGCCACAGCCAGTTTCCTTCCCCATCAGCTCTAAACACTGGCCTGAGTGGTTGCCAAAGGGAGAAAGCCACATTAGAACGGACCTCAGTGTTTTCGTTGAATGGCCGATGGGCTAGTTTCAAACAAACAAACAAAATTCTGGGGGTGGCAATCGGATAAAATTATTATGAAGTGACATATATGTTTGCCTTACAATAGGGCCCTTAAGTGTGACCATATGGTGGTCACATATGATAAAATTGCAGAGAACTCAACATGCACACACTCAAATGAGTGTATATAAAACTGATCTAGATCAATAGTTTGTTTAACTATCCATTTCAATACCCTGGTTATGAAACTTTACCAGAGTTAAGTGCAAGCCACTAGCTCGGGAGGGTGGGGATTGGTTGAAGGGTAAACAGAATTTTCTGTATTTTCTTTGAACTACATGTGAATCCATAATTATTCTCAAATAAAAAAATATGAAGTTAAAGATGTTAGCATAGCTAAAATATAATGGAACATTTCACAGCAGCCTCCTCATGGCCCTGACTCAGGCACAGGACATTCTAAGCAGGAGGCCCTAGCTGCTTGCACAGGCCACGCGTGCAAGAAGCGGTGGTTTTGTTTTTATCATTTTATTGGGAGCTCTTGCAGATACCATAACACGTCATCGTTCAATCACATCAAACAGTATTGTCGAATTGCTACCACAGTCAGCTTCAAGACAGTTTCTTTCTTCTTGAACTCCTTGAGATCAGCTCTCCTTTGTCCCCTCTCTCCCCCACCCTCCCTCCAGGAACCCTTATTTTTATTTATTTATTTTGCCTCCTCTTATACCATCCAATATATCCATTTACATACAATGCTTGGTTCCAGCCCCTTGAGTAGGGTTATACAGTCATCAGTGCTATCAGCTGTTCCCCCACCCCTGCCCTCCACCCCTCACTTCCCGTACCCTCAGGGAACTGTTACTTCTGTTACTGTTTCTGGATGGTTATCTATCTTAGCTTTCATGTATTGAACAGTCTTAATTATACAAATAAACATATGTAAGTATAACGTGATTAATAAGGTAAAACAAATAAAAACCCTAATAGTAAGGGGAGGAAATATTAAAGAACTAGAGGCTAGTTATGTGCTTCATCAGTGCTACACCACACCCTGGATTTATCCTCCCTTCTATGTGGCTCTTCTGAGAGGGACTGCCCAATTTTCTTACAAGTGGGTCTCTACTACATCCCCCTTCCACATCAATTTGGTTGCTTGTTTTCAAACTTCTGATACCTTTTCCCACGGACACCTCAAGATCACACAGGCTGTTCTCAGGAAGCCGGTTTTGGTGTGGGAGTTGCAATGCTCAGAGGAATTGGAATTGGAAAATGGGTTAGATGTTGAGTTAACATCTCAAGGGAAGCTGGGAGATTTCTTTGGTGCGGCCACAGCAAGAACATGTGAGGCTGTCTCTTGTCAACTACCCTGTTTCCCCGAAAGTAAGACATCCCCTGAAAATAAGACCTACTTATAGCTTTGCCTCTCGCTGAAATATAAGGCATCCCTCGAAAATAAGACCTCCCCGAAAATACGGCCCCCCCAAGCTACGGTAACTGTGGACTCTGGACCGTAGTGGTGGGCACTGCCATGCAGCTCACTGTTGGCCACAGCCCAGCCAGAGCAGACAGGAAGTGTGAGGTCTCTTTAAAAAAAACAATAAACAATAGATGTGCACTATATTCTTCTTCATGGAAAAATAAGACATTCCCTGAAAATAAGACCTAGCGCATCTTTGGGAGCAAAAATGAATAAAAATTAATATAAGACACTGTCTTATTTTCGGGGAAACAGGGTAGTATAACCACTCAACCCTCCTAGGCTTTCGTTGTGCAGAGAAGCAGGAGTAGGCGCTAAGGGGATCTGGCCGTTTAGATTGTATATTCTCTAATTGGAAGTCTTACCTTGTTTTTGAGGAGCAAGGAGTTCTGCAACAAACAAAACAAAACAAAAGATCATGCATGCATGCTTGCGTCCCTCCATCCACCCACCTAAGAAACACTTAGGAGAGCCTTCTGTGTGCCTTGCTGAGATGCTAAGGAATGCAAGATGCAGATGTCTAAAGCCCAGCCAGAACAGGCAAGCCACCAATTAGCAAGTATTGCCTTCAGTGGCTAATAGACGCGTATTGTTATGTTTTTGGATGCTGGGTAGCTGAGGGCTTTTCGTCGTCTGGGGATAGCCCCTTGCGTGAATCGCGGTAGGACACAGTACCTCCACCCCTGCAGAAACTGCAGGGGGTGGCTCCTCCCTCTCCCTGTGCCCTAGCTCGGGCAAGGACACCAGACCTAGGTGGAGAAGCCCCTGCTTTCCCCTCTAGACACAGCAGCCTGTGCCACTCTTGAACGTGCCAAGAGGACCAGCTCTGAGTTTGGCTCAGCGGTCTCGGGCATGAGGGAGGCTTTCCACTGTGGGGCAGGGCCACCTTCAGCAAAGTCACCGTAGCCTCTGTGCGCATTCGTTTCCTTCCCTTCCTTGGCGTTGTTCCAGAGGAACTTGACTCAGAGAGTGGGTGTGAAGGTCCCTAGCATAGCACAGTGCGTCTGCTGCAGGAGGGAGGCCAGGGCACGCTGGCCTTGGAGACTGAGCACCAATCTAAAGTCCTTGGACCAACTCTTTCCCAACCTTGAATCTGTATTCCATTCTGGATGGTTCTGTAGCTCCCTCCCAGCGTAATAGCGCTCAATCACCTGAAGTGAGTTCCCTACTTTCTTGACTATCCCCTTTCTTCTCTAGCACCCAGCCCATGGAGGTCCAGAGTGGGTCTGTCTTGCCCAGTATTTTACCCATGACATCACGGATCTGCCTAGCGCCCAGCAGCACCAGCCGGGATGCTCTCCAGAGAAGCACCGGTTCCCTCAGCCACCAGGCTAGGCCGGTCCATTAAGAAAGCTCTAACGGTCCCACCATCAGCCTCAACACAGAGACCCCGAGGACTGTCTGGAAGGGAACCCAATCCGGCGCTAACACGCAGTGGGGGATTCCTTTAGTAAGCACTACATGGTTGAAGCCTAGACAGGCCAGGGTTAGTGTGACAGGGGAAACAGGCAGGACTAACCCAGCCATTCTGTCAGTCACCCACTCACTCTCTATCGGGAACCCAGTGTGCCAAGAACCGCCTTGTGTATGGAAATGCTCTCATTTTTGCCGGTCACTCCAGTAGTGGAGACGACTAACTTATGCTAACACTGGCATCAGATTTATGGGTGCTGAGCAAGTAAACAGATAAGAACAGGTGGCGGAGTAAGAAGAACGGAAAAAATGTGAGTGTGTACCTCTGCTCGTATGTGTTGTGAATTGAATGATGAGTCTTCCTCCCCACAATATGTGGTGGGTCCTAAACCTAGTCACTTCTGAGTTACGAAAAGAACACACCAAGAACACGCAGGTCCCAGAAACACACACGGAAGGAAGAGGAAGACACGGGACGGAGTGCAGGAACGGCGATCATTGCTGATATTAAAGGGGAGCGTCCAGAACTTCCAGAACTCTGAATCTGACAGAGAAGGGTTCCCGACTCCCAGACACGCCAAGAATTTGGACTTCTAGCCTTCTGAACTGTGAGAAAATCAATTTCTGTTCCTTCAAGCCACCCGCGTGTGGTGTCTCTATGAGGGATGCGTGAGGAAGAGAAGTCTGCATGTGCACGTGCTCACTGGTTTCTAAAGATAGCCGAGGAGAGTACTTCGGAGAAGGGGATGCCTAAGCAGAGTCCAGAAAGAAGCAGGGAGCGGCCCCAAGAGCTATCCGAGTGGGCAGGCTGGCAGCAAGCACAAAGGCCCTGAGGCAGCGGGCACCAGGCCCATCTGATGAAGGAATAAAACGGCCAATATGTCTGGAGAGGAAACACGCGAGGGCCTTGCAGGCAATGTAAGACCAGTGACACTTCCGTGAAGGCAATGGACGGCCACAGAAGACTTTAACAAAGATTGGGCTGCAGACAGTATGGGCAGAGGCCTGAAATACGAGAAGACGAGGCCAGAGAGATTGGCATGCCAGGGGAGAAATGAAGCTGCCTGAGGGGCAGGCGCTCTCTCTGGAAGGGTGGGGTGGGGTGGGGTGGGGTGGGGGCTGTGGAACTCTGGAGCGTGTTGTAGCTGAGGAATGAAAGAAGCGCTTCTTCAGGAAGACGGAGGAGAGAGGGGTAGACGGACTGGCTCACCTAGGTTCTTGTGGACCCCTGTGGGGAGTTTGGGAAAAGGTCAGGTGCCCATTAGGGAGTCCCTCCTGCAGAGAAGCAGGAGTAGGTGCTAAGGGGATCTGGCCGTCTATATTGTATATTCTCTAATTGGAAGTCTTACCTTGTTTTGGAAGAGCAAGGAGTTCTGCAACAAACAAAACAAAACAAAAGATCATGCATGCATGCTTGAGTCCCCCCATCCACCCACCCAAGAAACACGTAGAGAGCCTTCTGTGTGCCTTGCTGAGATGTCAAGGAATGCAAGATGCAGATGTCTAAATCCAAGCTGCAACAGGAAAAGCAGCAACTAGCAAGTATTGCCGTCAGTGTAAAATAGACACTTGTTATGTTTTTGGATGCTGGATAGCTGAGAGCCACGGTAGCCTCTCTGAGCTTTCCTTTCGTTATCTTACTTTGCATTGTTCCAGATGGGCAGTGAGTATTAGACAGGGAGCCAGGCTCAGGATGAACAGTGAGTGTCAGGCAGGGAGCCAGGCTCAGGATGGGCAGTGACACACACAGGGAGCCAGGCTCAGGATGGGCAGTGAGGGGCAGACTCAGCATAGGTAGTGGGAGGGCTGTGCTTACTTTCTCGCTTCTTTAAAATACACAGGATGACTTCCTTGCATTTCTCAAAGTTTTTCTTCAGTCTGAAAGGAAGAACCATCATCTTTAGCTACTGAGAACAAACCCAGATTTATGTGGTTCAGTGCAGAGCATGCTGGAGCCCGAGGGCTGTGCTGCTCAGGGAAAGCTGGGCTGCCCATCAGCTTAGCCACCTGACCAGCTCTTCTTCCGCACAGTGCAGAATCTTGGCTTCTAAGTGGCCCTCCCCCTGGGCCCGTGGGCTGAGCGCTGTCTTGAGGGCTAGGACAGAGCAGGGGGTAGCTGTCTGTGGGAAGCTCGGTTGGCTTTTCTATGCAGCCCAAGAAGGCTGACACTTGGAAATCCATAGAAAAGCAGCATTGTTGGTCTGTTGGCCAGCTCCCTGGAGACTGCTTTGCATTTCGAAGGGAATTTTGCATGAAGCCTGGGGAAGGCAAGGCCAGCCTTTCAAAATGGTCACACCCCTTCTCATGTCAAAGAACAAAGCAAGCCGTGCTGGCCTTTCCGGGGCGTGGCCTGTTTTCCTTCCCAATGCGCGTGGTCTCCAGAGAGGGCTGCGTTTCTCGCTTCTTGAAAGGGAGAGTGCTGGACCAGGGGAGCTTCCCAGGCTTCGTTGACTCTAAAGGTTTATTTATTTATTTATTTATAAAGGGCTATTTTATTGAGTTTGGGGTGAATGTTTACACTCCAAGTTAGGCTCCCATTTGGCAATGTCCATGCCCATTCTTCAGTGGCATTAGTGACCCTTCTCACAAGGCACCCACATTCTTTTAATTTGGTTCCGGGTACCCCTGCCCAGGACAGCGTACCTCGCGTCAGGGCACCTTTGGACTGCGCGGTGGCCACCCTGTGTCGAGCAAGTCCATTGACGCCATTTTCCAAACAGTGTGCGCTCACCCACGTCTCTGTGTCCCCTTGGGGCAACTCTCCACAATGTTCTAAACATTTACCTCATTTTACTATGGCACACTTCAGACTCTACAGTACGGCATGTAAAGGCAACTGGCTAGGCTCTGGGCAAAAACAACAGGTCGTGTGACTGGCTTTCCGGTGCTCTGCACCTCGTTGCCGTGGTCTGGAGCTGAATCCAGCACATTGCTAACTAAGGCTGATCTCCCCTCCAGCTGCCCTGCCTCCCAAACTTCCATCTTTGCTTGGTTAGTGATTATTTAGCATTTGGTCTCGTACGAAGGTTTTTGAAAACTTTTTATTTTTTATTTTAGTGAGTGAGGCAGTGAGAGTGAGACAGTGAGAGAGTGAGGCCTTACGAAGGTTTTTAAAGTAGGGCACCTTAAGGGCAATATCCTTTATTTTGTGTGCCATTCTGTTAGTCCCCTAAAAGGTGATCTCTGGGCACGGCGCAGTTCTGGGTTAAAGAGTGGGCGATCACCTTGGGGGTCCCCCTTTTCTCCTGCTCCACTTTGGTCATGGCTGGCTGAGTCCCCAGTTGAGATTCCATAGGGGCTTCTTGACCATCATCTGTATGGAAGCCAGTCACCCAGCCTGCCTCCCGAGGTACCTCTGGGTGGCCTCAAACCACCAACCTTTGGGTACTTAACTGCACTGCCCAGAGACTCCGAGGGCAGAGACTTCTGGGTTACTACTTGCCCTTCGGAAGAAACAGGGAGTATGGGAGATGAGCTCTTTTTTTAAATATAAATCATTTTATTGCGGGCTCGTACAACTCTTATCACAATCCATCCATCCATCCATCCATTGTGTCAAGCACATTTGTACATTAGTTGCCCTCATCATTCTCAAAATATTTGCTCTCTACTTAAGCCCTTGGCATCAGCTCCTCATTTTCCCCCTCCCTCCCTCCTCCCCACTCCCTCATGAACCTTTGATAATTTATAAATTATTATTTTGTCGTATCTTACACTGTCCGACATCTTTCTTCACCCACTTTTCTGTTGTCCATTCCCCAGGGAGGAGGTTATATGTGGATCCTTGTAATCGGTTCTCCCTTTCCACCCCACCCTCCCAGTATCGCCACTGATCCTGAAGAGATCATCTATCCTGGATTCCCTGTGTTTCCAGTTCCTATCTGTACCAGTGTACATCCTCTGGTCTAGCCAGACTTGTCAGGTAGAACTGGGATCATGATAGTGGAGGGGGAGGAAGCATTTAGGAACTAGAGGAAAGTTGCATGTCTCATTGTAGCTGCACTGCAGGGGGATGAGCTCTTTGTGGCCCTTCTGTACCAAACACGCTTTGTTGGCAAACACTTTGAATGGACCTGCAGTTGTGTTTCCTAGCCGACCAGTACCTGTGCAGGAATCAAGATGTAAGGTTCTCAACCCGTGGGTCATGACCCCTTTGGGGGTTGAATGACCCTTTTACAGGGGTCGCCTGATTCATAACAGTAGCAAAATTACAGTGATGAGGTAGCAACAAAAATAATTTTATGGTTGAGGGTCACCACCACATGAGGAACTGTATGAAAGCGTCGTGGCATTAGGAAGGTTGAGAACCACTGCTATATGGTGTGGAGTGGGGCCGGGGCCCCTGTCCCACAGGCTGAAACCCGGGTCTTGACTGTAGACAAGAGTTAAGTCCCTTTCCTAGAGAGTCCCTGGATGGATCAGGCAGTTGACATCCTGGGCGGCTAACCAAAAGATTGGAAGTTCAAATCCGCCCAAAGGTGCGTCAGAAGAAAGGTCTGATGATCTACTTCTGCAAAAGCCCTCAGAAACCCCATGGAGTGCAGTCCTACTCCGACACATTTGGGGCTGCCATGAGGTGGAGGTGACTTGAGGGCAACTGGATTTGCTTCTCAGAGTGCCTCAGGGCTCTCTTGTCCCAGGAGGCCACTGCCTACAGCAGAAGATGCTGATGGCCAACCTCTATGTCTGCCTTTTGTAAAAGCAAAGCCTCGGCCCGCAGAGGTGAGGACTGAAGGCTCGGTCCGCACTGCCCGAGACTCTGCCTGGCACCCAGGCAGCTCAGCACAACCGTGCTCTCCAAACCGTGTGGCAGCACCGAAGTGAGATGCTAGGTTTCCATGCAAAAAGCATGGGCTGCACCACAGGCTGGAGGTATGAACGAGCTCAGGATATTTTGGGGTTTGGGGCCATGCCAGGCAGACAGACCTGGGGCTCCCAATGGGGCTGCAATAACTTTCTCATTTCCCACTCGAAATGGGGGCTTATGCCCTGACCCTCAGGGAGCCCTGGTGGCATAGAGGTTGTACATTGGGCAGGTACCACAAGGTCAGCAGTTCAAGGTCATCTTTCTCTTCAGGATAAAGATGAGACTTTCTACTCTTGTAAAGATCAACAGTCTCAGAAATCCACAGGAGCACTTCGACTCTGTCTGTAGACTCTCTAAGAGTCGGCATGGATTCGATGACAGTGAGTGAACTCCGACTCCCTGGTCAGGGAAGCTCAAGACCGAGATCCCTCTTGTGGTAGTTACATAATTTGTTGTCTACTTGAGACTTAAGAGTGAAGGGGTGGAGTTTAACCTGCCAATCAGGTTGCAGCTTGATGACCTCATTTAGAGGCGTTAAGGAGATAAATAGCTCGCTGGAATGGAAAGCACACTCACTCACTGCGAGACATGCTTACTGACAGCACATGGAGCTATGCTAGAGCCCTGGGGCTGAAGGAGCCACGTGGAGACCCCTGCCAGCACTGAGATGCTTCCACCGCCACTGGATCCACAAGACTTTCCACCCACTGGCCTGTGATCTTCCTGCATTTGGTGTCATTGCATGTGTTTTGTGAGTCTGAGAGGAATTTATAGATTGGTATTGGACATATGGGCTAATATTGGACTTAAGGACTTGACCTGGACTGGGCTGGGATGTTTTCTAAATATTCAATGGCTCTTGTATATAAAGCTCTTTATTATAAACATGAGTGTCTATGAATTTGTGTCTCTAGTCTACCCAGACTAGCATACCCCTCTTCCAGGGAACATGGATGAGTATCTGCTAGCTGAGGGCAAGAAACCCTAGGGGGCACAAAGTCAACATGCTCAGCTGCTTAAGGAAAGCCCAGCAGTTCAAGCCCATGCAGAGGTGCCTTGGAAGAAAGGCCTGGTGATCTACTTCTGCAAAATCAGCCACTGAAAACTCACTGGAGCACGGGACCACATACACATGAGGCCACCACGAGTTCCACTCAACGCAGTGACCATTTGGTTAGCCTGGCACAATTTCTTGAGCAGGCATCCAGGATCTTGAACCTTCATTGCTCCCCCGCTTCTTAAGGCCCAGCAGTGGGAGCCTCGCCCCCCGAGGTTGTTGTATACCTTCAAGACTTGCCCTGTCCTGGATGCTGCACCTCATCTGCCTCCGATCCTAGTTGGTGCCTGCTGTGATTCTAGATGTCTCTGCTCTTGGGCTGGCAGCCGGACATTCTGTTTCCCTTGCCCCCTGGCTCTTGCCTGGCCTCTTGTTCCTGTTCTGCTCCAGCTCCTTGATTCAGGAGACCTGCCTGATTCTTGCTCTTTCCCCTGTACATTCCATTTCCTTTTCCTCTGTGGCTACCTCTGACCCAACCAAACTTTCCAGCCACTTACAGAATCCTCAGTTCCGGCTTCCCCACCACTTAGAGAATCCCCAGTTTCGGCTTCCCCACTACTTACAGAATCCACAGTTTCCTCCTGGTTTCACTCTTCAGGCTACCAGTCAAGGGGATCTCAATGTCTTCTTCCATCTCATCTTGAGCAGACATTTCTCTCAGCATCACCCGAAACATCTTCTGGTAGGAGCTTTCGCGCCTTAACTACAAATGAAGTATCCAGAAAATGAGAATGAATGGTTTCCTAGTTGGCCACTTCTATGACTCAGAAGGGATTCAATTTATCCAATCTGTATACTAAGCAAATCATCAGAGAAGCTGGTCTCTTGGAAGAAGAGTGCAGCATCAGGAGTGTTGGAAGGCTTATTAACAACCTGCACTATGCAGATGACACAACTTTGCTTCCTGCAAGTGAGGAGGAATTGAAGCCCTTGTTGATAAAGATCAAGGATCACAGCCTTCAATGTGAATTATAACTCAATGTAAAGAGAACCCAAATACTCACAGCTGGACCGATAGGTGGGACGGATAGGGAAAAGTGTATCCACTCCATCTTTCTGGGAGCAAAATTTCTTTTTACATGATTTCCGCAAGTGTGACTTACCTTGATACCAAGAGAGTGGACAGATTTCATTTTTTGTGTTTCTGTTTTAAAAAAGCAGCTTGTGGGTATGCGTTTGCATGGTCAGCTAGGCACGAGGACCCTTGGGGTTTGGAGCTCCCCATTTGCCTGTCCACTGTTTCAATGTGCTGCCTGCAGAGTGAGTCTGGGAGCCCACATCGAGAGGCCCTTCCCCGCTGGCACTCAGGCCGCCAGCTCCCACATTCAAAGAGTGACATGAAAGAAACTGAGATTTCAGCTTGAATCCAACTTACATTGCTGGACACGTTCTCAGGTTCCAGTGCTTCAGAAGACTCATTCATTAAGTCTTCCAAAAGCTTACGTTCAGAAATGGACTCCAGGACTTGCATCTTGTCAGGCACATCTAAAGGAAAGGCATTTGGAAAGAGAACCAAAGAAGAAAAAGAAAGGAAATGGATTTATGACCATTGACCCTTGCACCTTTTAAAATCAAAATGTAGACATCACCAGGAAGACTTCAAATCTGTTCATCAAATTCCGTCAAACTCAACTGTAAAATGGGACTGCTGCCTTCTTGTTAGTTGCCTTCTATTGCCCTTGGCGCATGCCAAGCCCATGTGCTATGTGGTAGAACTGAGCTCCTTAGGCTTTTCTTGACTGCCATCTGTTCAGAGTAGATCATCGCCAGGCCTTTCTTCTGCAGGACCACGAGGTGGGCTTGAACCACCAACTTTCCTCATAACAGCCGATCACCTAGGGCTTGCCTCACCCATGCTCCTCAACTAGCACTGACAGGGCCCCTATGTGAGTCCTGAGCCTTCTGAGACAAACTGGTAGTGGCTTCCGTGGGCATAGGATGACCGGAGAGGAGGGAGTGTGAAGGGTGGTAGAGGGGGTAGGGGCCAGGGGCAGCTCAGGAGGGATCTTACATTTTATTTGGAAGGAGATTGATTTCTGAGTGTTTTTTTTTCTCTCTTGAAAATCCAGAGAAATCGTCATATCTCTCGCCAGTTTTGTAAACAAAATAAAACGGCCAGTTTCCAGAATCACGTATTATTCAGAAATGCTGATCTAAGCAGAAGGGATGAATCCTACAGCAACCGAGCTAGAGAAAGTCCCCCTGATATAGTGGAGATCAGCCCAAGGGCAGCCCCCGCCCCTAGACTCTGGGTCAGGGGAGAGACTTACAGCCTCCAGTGGTGATGGGCTGCAAATTGAATCAGGGATTTGATCACCCAAGGTGAGCTTGTTTCCTTACTCTTGGGAAGAGGGGGCCCTAGGGATGTGCCCTGGGAGGAAATGGTCCTCACAAGACAATTGGATCCTCAAGGACATGACAAAAGCCTCTTGTCTCGGATTCAAGACAGCACCAGTCTCTTCGAGCTGGGACATCCAAGAGAGCCTTGGAAACCCACCAGGGTAGACACAAGGCAGACCTGGGTGGTGCCCCTAGTATGCCTCCTGGAGCCTCTGGACCATGCAAACAGTGAATCCACTCAGCTGTCAACTGAAAGGCCGGCAGGCCGTGTCCACCCAGAGGTGCCTGGGAAGAAATGGACTGTGAGGAGGCCCCTGAGAACCTCGTGGAGCGCGGGTTCACTCTGACACACGTGGACTCGCCGTGAGTTGGTTTGATTCTTCAGTGACTGATTTTTACCCGCGCCTTTGGATCTCCTTCTGCCTTTAGGGAAGGGAAGGACACATTCTTTGCGATCTCAGGACATGTTTGCTGGGTTTGCCCTTCTTCCCCATTTCAGTTCCTTGGGGAAGACTCCACTGACTTTGGGCTCCTGAAGGGACAGAGAACACGACTAATGGATCTGCCTCTGGGATAGGAGGCCCTTCCTCCTGTCGTCCCCCTAGGCCAGTCTTCCTCCCCTGCCACAGCAGGCTTGGGTGCCCTGCAGGCGGTGAGCTTCCAGCACTCTCTGGGCAGGCTTTTGCTCTAGTTCCCAGCGTGCCAACCCATGGCAAAGGCAAAGGGGCTTCAAGCTCCTGCCCAATGACCCACTACTGACCCAGACTGTCTGCGGTGGAGTGTGTCCAGTGAGTTGCTAGGTTGGCCTTTCTAGGACTTGGTGCAAGCAGGACCAGCCAAGGACCCACTTACTGGGCCATTTTCTTTCATTTCTTTACCCTCTGCAGGGACTGTGACTGTTGAAAAATATATTAGAAAATATCAAACCAGCCTGTGTGATCATGAGGTGTCGAGGGGATCAAGTATCAGGCATCGAAGACCCAGAACAAAAACCCATATCAATGTGAATGAGGGGAGTGCAGAGTGGAGACCCAAATTCTGCCTGTAAACAATTGAACATCCCTTCACAGCAGGGTCACAAGGAAGAGGCGAGCCAGTTAGGGTGTGGTATAGCACTGATGAAACATACAACTTTCCTCTAGTTCAGTGGTTCTCAACCTGTGGGTCGTGACTCCTTTGGGGGTCGAATGACCATTTCACAGGGGTTGTCTGATTCATAACAGTAGCAAAATTAGTTATGTAGTAGTAATGAAAATAATTTTATGGTTGGGGGGTCACCACAACATGAGGATCTATATGAAAGGGTCGCAGCATTAGGAAGGTTGAGAACCACTGATTTAGTGCTTTAATGCTTCCTCTCCCCAACTACCACAACCCCAATTCTACCTTACAAATCTGGCTAGACTAGAGCATGTACACGGGTACAGATAAGAGCTGGAAACACAGGGAATCCAGGACAGTTAAACCCCTCAGGACCAATAATGAGAGTAGTGCTACCAGGAGGGGAAGGGGAAGGTGAGGGGAAAAAGGGGGAACCAATCACAATGATCAACATACGCCACTTCCCTTCCCCCGTTCCCCAGGGCTCGACAACAGAAAAGTGGGTGAAGGGAGACAGCGGTCGGTATAAGATGTGAAAATAAAAAAATTATCAAGGGTTCATGAAAGAGGGAGGAAAAAATGAGGTGATACTAAGGGCTCAAATAGAAAATGTTTCAAAAATGCTGATGGCAGCATATGTACAAATGTGCTTGACACAATGGATGTATGTATGGATTGTTATAAGAGCCCCCAATAAAATGATTTTTAAAAAAGTTAGACTTGTATGGATTGTGATAAGAGTTGTATGAGCCCCTAATAAAATGATTTTTTAAAAAAAGAAAAAAAAAGTTAGACTTACCATTTTCTTCCTTTTCCCCCACGTCCGTGACAATGTCATCTGGAAAAGATGAGGAAACTTGGTAATGGGCTGTGGTAAAGTGAAGGCCCCCCAGGGAGCCCATGGTGGAACCATTTCCTCTAGATCTGGGAGACCCAGGGTGAAGAGCAAAGGTCTTGGGAAAGAGGCTTCCTGTGATCCTCAGTCGTGGATTCCCAACCAGCACCGACTCCCTGCCTTTGTTCCTGTCTCATCTTGCCCACCAGTTTCTTCTTCCTGATAGTCTGCTCAGCATGCAGAAGGTGCAGTGAATGTCTTCCGATGAGCCGAGTTCAGGCAGACCTCGGATATATTGCGGGTATGGGTCCAGACTACTGCAATAAAGCGAATATTGCAATAAAGCAAGTCACATACTCGGTTTGGTTTCCTAGTGCGTATGGAAGTGACACGGCACCGATGAAGTAGGCAATGGTCTTGCAAGAAAAAAAAATCAAAGTAGTGTGAGAATCATCAAAAGGTGACACAAAGTGGGCACCAAGTGCAGACAGAGTTCTCGATGCGGGGCTGCCACAAACCTTGGATTTGTAGGGAAGGCAGCATCTGTACAGAAACGTTCCTAAAGCAGGGTATGCCTGTCGAGATGATCCGTAATCTTCCATCCTACTTTGGTGATAAATCTTGTTCCCCCTTTTCAGAATACTGAGTGTTTTAGCTGCTGGCTCTGAGGCCAACTACCAGAAATGTTGCCTGGGCCACTGGCCTCAGTTAAGGCTGCCTCTTCTAAACTGGTGCATAAACATTCTGCGTTTCTTATTTTCTCCCAGATGGATTAGTAACTTCCATAGAACCAAAAAAACTCCCCAAACAGCGCCCCCCCGCCCCCCAAACCCAAACAACCAAAACCAAAAGCAAATGCCCTGCCATTGAGTGGATTCTGACTCACGGTAGCCCTGCAGGGCAGAATAGAACTTCTTCCTCTATTGGTTTCCAAGCCCGTAACTCTTTATGGGGTAGAATTTTCTCCTGTGGAGCAGCTGGCGGTTGCGAACTGTTGACCTTGCAGTTTGCAGCTCAAATTATAATCACTTCCCCTCAAGGGCTCCTAGTAACTTCTATATGTCATTAAAATAATAAACGTTACCTTGGGAACCTGACTTGTCCGGTTTAGAGTTCTTCTTTTGACGTTGAAACAGCTATTAAAAGGCACAAGGGGGTAGCCATTGATGATTTTAACGTTACAATTCCCAGTGAGAGCTCTGATTCCTGATTCAGAGGTCAGATTCTTTTCCTTGTTCAAATTGGACATAAAATTTTGGGAAGGTCTAGACTGTCCTAGAGGGTCACTCACTAGGAGTCAGCATTATTTCTTAACGCTCCAGGCTGTTCAAACCAGTTGCGTGGTATCAGCTTGACCTTGCCGGTGGCTCCGTGTGGCCACAGTAGAGCGTGTGCTCCACAGGCTTCTACTTGTGGAAGATGTAGGGTGAAAATGTTGATGTTAGTTCTTTTTTTTTTTTTTTCATTTATATTTATTGTTCACAATTTCCCTCTGTGTATTGCTTTTGTTGTGTCCCATACATTTTGGTAAGTTGAATTTTGGTTCTCGCTGTTTCAAGGAATTTTAACATTTCATGTTTTATTTCTTCAGTCGTTTTCAAGTAGGGTGTTGTTCAGTTTCCATGAATTTAAGTTTTTCCTCTTGATCTTCTTATTATTGATTTCTAATTTTATAGTATTGTGGTCTTAGAAAATGGGCTGTAATAGCCTGATGTTTTAGAGTAAGGGTGGTGAAAAAGGCAGGTGGTGCCCAGCTATCAAAAAGAATAGTATCTAGGGTCTTTAAGGCTTGTTTTACATGAGACGCTAAGTGAGATGCCAACTAAGTTCACATGGACGAAGCACACCAGTCTGTGTGATCCAAAGATTATAAATAACAAAATCCAAATCTGAAGGAGAAAATGGTATCAGAGCTTTAATTGTGTACACCCAGTTTGCAGAAGGCTATAGATGATGGTGGAAGCCCCAAATGCATTTATGTGTCCCCACATGGATTAAGCTTCAAGTGAATTCCCTCTGCCCCTAATTGAAGGATGTGATAGCCTTGCTATCAGACAGATTGTAAACTCTATTATGGTAGATGTAATTAGCTTAAAATGTAATATCCTTTGACCCATTTTAAAGTTGTTATATTTTTAAAAAAGTGAAGAGGGAATACATGTGGATTAACCCTGCAGTGAATTCCCTGTGACCATAGACCAGGGAAGTGAGTAACCTTGTTAGCATGCATAGTGCTAAGAAAGTGGATTGTTGCAGATGCACTTAGGTTAAAATCTAACACCTGATCATTTGGTCTCCCTGTGACCTATTCTAAATTTGTTCCAGTTTTTAATATGTCCAGCTTTTTTTTTTCAGTTGAGGATTTTTGTGGTTTATTTTGTTATTGTTGTTTATATTTTTTACTATTTGGGGCTATGTTTTTCTATGTATGAAGTCCAGGATAGCTAAATCTATAGAGGCAGTAACTGGCTTAATGTTTTCTTGGTGTGGCAGGGGAGGTTGAGGGGAAATGGGGAGCTAATAACAATGAGTACAAGAAAGAAAAAGTTCTAGAACTGATTGTAGTGATGCTTGTACAACTTTAAAAATATGATTGAATTATTGAATTGTATATATGTGAATTATATGTCAATAAAACTATTTTAAATTTTTTTTTAAAAGGACTTGCTTTGTAACCTAACATTTGGTCTCATCTGTAGAATGTTCCATGTGTCCTAGAAAGGAATGTAGATTGTGCTGCTGTTGGATTGATTGTTCTGTGTATGTCTAAGAGGCCAGATTGATTGTGGTGTTTATTTTTTTGTATCTTGAGTTTCTTTCCCAATGTTCTGCTCCTCCTTCAGAGTGGTGTATTGAAGTCTCCTATTATTGTAGTATTGTCTATTTCTCTCTTCAACTCTATACGAATTTGATTAATGTATTTTTAGGGTCTTTCATTGAATGCAAATATGTTTATTATATCATCCTGTTAATTGTCCTTTCATCGTTATGTAATGCCTTTCTTTGTCTCTCATAGTAGATTTTGTCTTGAAGTCTGTTTCATCTGAGATTAATACCGCTGCTTTATCTGATTGCCATTAGCTTGATATGTTTTTCAATTCTTTGATTTTTAAAAAACGGAAACACTTTTAATATTATACCTTAAAGTTGACATTTTGCCAACTTATCACAATATGCAATATCCGAAGAATATGGCAGTATTTTTACTTTTTATCACTTAATGAATACTGATGATATATAGATTCACATATAGCTGTTCTCTCTCATTTATATTCAAAAGATTAGTGAATCTGGAAGAATTCCTACAATCACTACATGGAGCATGTTGTATCAGTATTTCAATAGTTTGCTCCAATCTATTTCTTTTTTTGTATTCCAAAACATCTTCATTATGTTGCTTGATGAGATAGGACCACTGGAAGACTGTGGTGCCCAAAGCCCCCAACTTTCAGTCAATCAGGTGTGCTATTTATTGGCTCCCAAATGTAAAACTTTGACCTCTGTGAAAGACCATGGGAGCAGGGCAAGGGCCAGCAGCTGGGGAGAAAGAGCACAGATATAGCTGGGAAGAAAGGGGGCAATTCCATCTTGCCAACCTGGCTCTCCATCTGTTGATTTTTAATCTGTTTTGATCTTTCTGTGTAAGATGTGTTTCTTGTAGGTAGCATATTGATGGGTCCTGCTTTCTTAACCAATCTGCTGTTTTCCGTCTCTTGACTGGTGCATTTTATCCATTTACATGCAGTGTGGGAAGTGGAACGTGAACTGTGTGAATTTATCACTGTCATTTTGTAGTGTGTTTCTTTCTTTCATATTTGTATATATATGGATAGGTTTATACAGCGAGAAGAAATATAGCAGCCAAATTAGTCTACACAGCAGTGCAGAGGGCTCAGTTTAACTCACTTCCGTGGAACAGTTAATATACTCAAAGTCCTTCAATTCACACGGGCTGCTGGTCTAAAGTCAATGAAGCAGACAGCAGAATCTTCCCTGAGGCAAGACAGGCAGCCTCTGCCCGCAGCAGACAGCAGGGTGGTCAGCAACAGTCAATAGCATGGGAGCTTAGTGAAGCAGGCCCGATCTCAGTCGATGAATGGCAACCGGATCCAACAGCCTCAAGCTCAACCAGCAGCTTGCGAAGCAGGTCTTGAAGGAGCCTCACGCGCTGCCAACATGACCCATGGGTTGGCTTGGCCCACAGGTACTGCAGTTCATTGTTGAGGCAAAGAACTAGCTCAAGCTACAGCATGCTGATCTGATCACCAGGGAGCAAGTGAGCTGCAGTGTGTTTCTTTGTGATTTTTTTGTTGTTCTTTCTAAATTTCCATGCTGAGTTCCTTTTGTTTGTGAATTTTCTTGTCATGTTTTTCCCCTTTGGCCACTATTTTGTATTTTACTAGATTTTCCCTCTTTTTTTTTTTTCCCAACGCAATAGACATTTATTGCATGCCTGTGCAGGGTCCAGCCCTTCCTCAGAAGAGTGGCCAATTTCCCCTCTTTTTTATTTAATGAAGTGTCCCCATAATCTTTGAGGTTACTTTGTTTATTATTTCCTCCTCAAGTTTAAGGCAGGCTGCTCTCTCTCTTATGAACTACTTCCTCTCCCTTAAAATGCTCTGCATTACCCTCTATTTTCTTTGTAATGATCTTCACCAAGAAATGCTCTCACTGGCCTCCCTAGTTTCAATCTTGTAAGTTTGGTCTTTTGGGGTGCTGCTTTAAGTGGGTTGATTTCTGGCTGGTCGTGTCTTTTATGTTCATCTCAGGTTGATATCTGCTGTTGACTTTCTGTCCAAAGAACTCCCCTTCGTATTTTGTATGGTTGATCTTGTTTTTACAAATTCTTTTAATTCATTCTTATCTGGAAATACCCGTTATTCTTTATATTTTTTCAGGATATAAGATTTTTGGTTGCAAAATTTCCCCAGCATTTTATATATATCATGACTTTCTTACCTGCATGGTTTCTGCTGAAAAAAACCCCAACCTTATTCTTACTGATTCCCTTTTGTAGATAACTGTTCTTTTTCTGAGAACTGCCCTTAGGACACCTTCCTTGTCAGA